TTCATAGACTATACAAAAGCATTTGACTGTGTGAAGCATGAAGAAGTAATCAAACCGTTAGACAAAAATTAAACATTGATGGAAAAGATCTATAAAAAAAAATGTATTGGCAGCAAACAGCAGCTATACGAATTAACAACTGTTTAGGTACATTTCAAAGCATAAAGAGGGGCGTACGACAAGGATGTTTACTGTCACCTGATTTGTTTTCACTATGCGGTGAAAATATAATGAGATCTTACATTGATATGCCCGGAATTGATGTTGGTTGGCACAATATAAACAATTTACGTTATGCTGATGATAGTCTTGATAGCAACAAGTCAGAAAGAACTACAGGAAATGATAGACATTGTGGTGTTAGAAAGTAGAAGAATGGGCCTCGGTTTGAATAATGGGAAAATAGAAGTAATGGTGGTATCAAAGAAACGAATTATTCCTAAATATGTAATAAAAGTCGATGGTGTTATTTTGGTACAAGTACAGAAATTTAAGTATCTGGGCACATGGATAACATCAGATGGAAGATGCATAACTGAGATAAGAAACACAATATGACAGGCAAAAACTGCATTTTATAAAATGAAGAACATTTTGTCTAATATATCTTTGTCATTGAGAGATAGAAACAGAATTCTTGCTTGCTACATACATCCAGTTTAAACACATGGCTGTGAATCCTGGACAATCGGTAAGCAGGCCAAACAATTTCTTGAGGCCTCAGAGATGTTGTTTTACAGAAGAACGCTTAGAATACCTTGAACAGCCAAAAAGAGCAACCAAGAGGTTTAGATAGAGTAGGGAGCCCGAAGACAACTTATCACAGACATCAGAAGGAGACAGTCATTATTTTTCGGCCATGTTATGAGAAGAGGGAAAATAGAACATGCTGTGACCATTGGAAAGATCTGTGAAAGGAGGGATAAAGGAAGACAACGAGAGAAGATTCTTGACAGTCTTGGTGCATGGCATGGAAGTGTGTTGGTACACGAACTGATACATACTGCAGGAGATCGTATATTTTAGAGAGGCATGACCACCCACGCTGGTCGGCAAGTCACCTGATGATGATGATGATGATGGATAGAAACAAGCTGTTGAGTGTTCTTGAGAACTACTGGGTACGAGGACAGTTACTAGAGAACATCATAGCCCTGTCCACACAAGCCAAAGTGCAGTAAGAACACAAGAAAGCATATCAGATATGATCACAGTCAACAAAGGTGTGAGACAGGGATGTGTGCTCTCCCCACTTCTACTTAACATTTATATAGACAGAATATCTGAAGAAGCAAGTTCTGATACAGTAAGCATAGATCTTTGTAATCATGAGGAAGTACACACATCAGAAGACGTAATCGATTTACCCACATTAAACGAACTACTATTTGCTGACGACCAGTGATTATTCTACACTGAAGAAGATAGACTGCAAGACCACATTAACAGGTTAAATAGTGCTAAACATTATTATAATTGCAAATATTTTTGTGTGTGCTGGTAAATAGTATCTATTTTGGCAGTAATTTAGATGAAGACGTGGGAACTGAAAGAGGTATTAAAATATAAATACAAAAGGCAAGAGCAGCTTTCATAGCACTAGAGAATTTGTTGAGGTGTAGGGAAATTAAAACTAATACTAAACTGTACATTATTAATTCTTATGTGAAATCAGTATTGTTGTATGGGGTGGAGACATGGGGAACAGCTAAGGCAGTTACTAATAAATTACAGACATTCATTAACTGGCGCCTGTGCAGAATAGAAGGGATTAAATGGTATGATAGAATCACTAATTTAGAGCTTTTGGAGAGAACTAAACAAGTTTTATTGGACCAAGAGGTGAAGAAAAGACGCTGGTATGGGATAGAACACGTTTCGAAAACCTCAGAACAATTTAACTAGAATTTCTTTGCACTGGAATCCACAGGGGCGTGAGTTGGTTGAGGGCCTATGTTCTATTTAGGGTTAGGAAGACAGAGGCAGAAGAAGAAGAGGAATAAACAGTCTCTCAAATCTTAGCGTACGTGCTAAACACCATTATACATTTGAGCATCTTAGTAATCGCCTAAACATGATTCTAAATCTGCAAGTTCACACGTTCACGTTCTGTCACTCCGCTGTGTTCTAACTAGCTGATTGATGTTGCATGTTAATGCCATTATATCTGGTTCTCTAGGTCTCATTAAGTGCAGAGTTGTAGATGGTACCTAAAATAGAAATTAACTTATTTTCTGCAGATTTAAAAAAGAGGAACAATTTACGATCCACATGGAAAGGTTCTCGAGAAAGTTATATCTAATTTAGGAACAAAACTAATCCACTTATTTCTTCCACAGAATGTTGTCTTTGTGAAACTCGTGTTAAAGCGTTACTGATTATTAACAAATAATTGGTATTATAGAATAACTAATGTAGAGCTTTGGGAGAGAACTAACCAAATTCCAGTGGACCAAGAGGTGAAGAAAAGGCGCTGGCGTTGGATATTACACACGCTGAGACAACCTGAGAACAATATAACTCAATATAACTAGAATGTCCTTGCACTTAAACCCACAGTGGCTTAGAAATTAAGGAAGACCCCAAAAAAAACGGAGAAGGTAATTAGAGAGTGAAGCTAAAAGAGATGGGGAGAACACGGGGACAGCTGCGTGTGATAGCCAAGGATAGAACCATTTGGCGTGAGTTGGGTCTTTACTCCAAGAAATTGATCTGCTACTTTAATTTTGTCCTTAGTGTTACATCTGCTTGATCTGTTGTTGGTGTCTTCGGTGTATTTGTCTATTCATAAATTATTTGTTTTTAAACCCTTGATGCTATATTTGCTAAATCATTTTGGAATGTATGTGGAGGATATGAATCTTACATAAATGCATACTGAGGCTGGACATACTGACCTCTGAGGGGCATAACTAGAGGTGATTCACCACCATTGAAAAAGAAACACAGAAGAAAATGACTGAAGTATCATCTGTCCACATCACATATTCTAGATATGTTTGTATAGTCTGGAATCGTATTTTTGCACTTCTACAGTATGCATTGATGAACATGAGTAAATTTAGCATACATTGGTTCACAATTTACTTCAATTCTGTTTTTCTCAAAATGCTTTACCAGTTTTCCCCTAGATTGCTACTTTCATTTGGCTTCAAACTATGTTTCTGGCTTTAGCAATCTTAAAAGTTCTTCGGACTCAGGTTTAAGTTAGAAGTAGAACGGAGCACTTACGGGTTACTACCTGTGTGCCATGATGTTGATCCGTTTCATAAACCAAATCTTAAAAGTTGACAAGTGAGCACTTACTATAGTGTACGCTGTGATTTTGCGGACATTCGTATATCGGTAACAACATTACTGTTTACCTCTTTTTTTTGTGTGTGTGTCTCTACTGCATTAATATATATATATATATATATATATATATATATATATATATATATATATATATATATTTATATATATATATATATATATATATCCTTATACTGTTTATGTCTCTGCCATTTGTTACTTTAACTTAGCCGAATCTAGGAAACTGTATTTCAGAAAAATACAACCTTTGGTGCAGAGAATTAGACAGTGGCATTGTGGGACAGAAGGGGTTAAACAACTAATTGAACCCATCTTCATCATGTGCACTGTAGTTAAAGGTAGTCGGTTACGAATCACAATCCCACAAGAATCACGGCTCTGATGGGTGCTGACGTACTGCCTCATCCAAGTGGCTAGCCCATCCATGTATTTGTTTCTTTGCAATTTACATAATCTCTTTTTAACAATTTTGCCATTCACCAGTTTTCGAGTTTATTTCTTTTCATAAAATGTCTAAGAACTTTAACATTTAAGATACATTTTTTTACTGTCTATTAAGGATGCCAAAACAGTATATTGTATTAGAGGCTATAATAAGCTGTTTATAAATTCTTTGGTAGCAGAAAAGCCAGTCCGTGCTGTACAATGTCTGACAATTAAGTAATGAGACTGATTTTATTATGGCCAAGAAAAATATGCCATATATAAAGCAAAGCACGGAATCAAAAGAGACAACATTCATTTATGAACTGGCAAATTTTTCATCACTGCTCGACAAGAAGACAACAAACAAGTCGCCATTTTGTTGACATGGTCAGAGAAACATTGTTAACGTAATCAGCACGGAGTAAAAAAACTAACATTGACTTGTTTTTAAAACTCAGAAAAAGTGCCATTGAAACAGTTGAACTGATGCAACAAGTTTATGGGGATAATTGTTTATCTCGTGCACAAATTTTCAGTTGATATTCATGATTCAAAAGTGGCGTAGAAATGATTACTAATGCACCTAGACCTGGACGCCAAATTTCTGTTCGTAATGATGAACTCGTTGAAAAAGTCAGAGAACGGATACAAGAAGATCATTGTTTTACTGTTTAGATGATGGCAGATGGTAATAGACAGACCATTCATAATATTTTAGTGTAAGATTTTGGCCCCAAAAAAGTTGCTTGCCGGTTTATACCACATTTGTTGTTCGATGACCAAAAACATCAGCGGGTTGAATACCCAAGAGACCTCATCAAAACAAGAATGTTTGGCCCAAATACAAGTGTGTGTTCTCAGCCCTCTATCCCATTTCCCAGATTTGTCTGGCTGTGATTATTTTCTATTTCAAAAATTAAAGTTTCGATTGAAAGGACGCTTTTTTAAACGATTTTGATGGCATCCAGAGAGCCGTAACATCCGACTTTGAGGGTCACAACAACAGAAAAACTACAGATGTCGTTTCAGTGTTTGTTAGATCGTGCTTTTTGCTGTATCAATGCACAAGGCGCTGACTTTGAATAAAATACAGGTTTTATCTTCAACTGTTGATTATTTTAATTTTTATGGAATTAGTCTCATTACCTAATTGTCGGACCTTGTATGTATAACTTTTCCCTTACACTACTGACTTTTCAACAGCAATTTCAAACAAAGACAGCAGTTTTATTGATTATACCTATCTGTATCTTCTACAGATGGATAAATCTCTAGATACCTCCTGGCTTCTGGATGGTCGTGATTCGGACATGGATCATCTGAACCCAAATATGCTTCTTTATCGAGACAAACGATATGTGGTAACACAGAGCCTCGTGGAACAAAGTCGCCTTGCAGCCTTGTACATCATTTTTATTATTCTTATTCTTATAATCAATGCCTTTATTATCATTATGATTCTCTTGTCAAAAACCATGCGATCCAGTTCAAGACACGTCCTGATCATCAGTGTTTGTCTCGGCGACCTTCTCATGGGGGTCTTTGTATTGCCAGTAAGTTTTGTTTATTATCACATGTTTTTTATTTCACAACGCTATCATTACTATTGCTAATTAGTCATCACTTTTGGTCATGTTATGAGAAGAAGGAAAATGGAACATGTTGTCACCACTAGAAATATCTGTGGAAAGAGAGACAGAGAAAGCGCGAGAAGATTCTTGACGGCCTTATATTATAGCATGAAAACACACGAACTGATACATGCGTTTGTGATTACAGATTGTGGAGATGCATTAACGCCCTTGCCAGTAGGCAAGGCACCTGGTGATGATGATAATAATGATAATGATGATCATTACCTTGCTGTTTTTAACAGTGTGTTGAATGTTCTAGCGCATTCATATGGACATTATTGGGATGTCAAAAATATGTTTACGGTAATTGCCAGCCCATGTCAATAGTATGTTCACACAAACACTGGGTTCATATCATAACTGTTTTTACGTCAATGGTAGATTTGTTTTCAGCAGTGTTCATATCAGTATTTATTTCATGTTACTAGTACGTGAGGGAGTTCTTGGTAAAATGTGGGAAAATTCCCACAAATTCATTAGACGGGAAAGGAAACACGCATATATCTAATATGAACTCCGTATTGAAGTGTAAAAAGACAAACACTGTTCTTTGGCCACAAAATGAGAAGAGACATCGGAAAGATCAGTGGAAAAAAGGGGTAAAGGCAGACCAAGAGAGATGATGCTGGATGGGCTAAAACGATGGCATGGAGGGATATCATAAGAAGAGCTGGTCCAGTCAACCAGAGATAGTGATCTGTGCAGACGCAATAGCGCCTACGCCAGCTGACAGGGCACATGATGATGATGAGTGAAGTGTGTTCGTATCAGTATTTATTTCATGTTACTAGTATGTAAGTGAGTTCTTGTATTAAATATTTGAAAATTCTTACAAATTAATTAGACGGAAAAAGAAACGCATATGTATATCAAATATGAACTCAATATCAAAACAACAAAAAAAGATTTATCAGCGAAGCAAAGCCATTCTAACAAATAAAGCATTCTGTGCCTTGTTATGGCACACATGAAAGTCTGGAGAAGAAACTCATGTGTTTGTGCAAAGTAAGGGAGCCTTCATGGAACGGAGATAAACGGAAGACTTCAACTTAGATGGATACAAAATGTGATAGATAATTGACATATGATAATAGCTGATGCAGCACATCTGGCTTATGATGGTGATATTTCTTGACAGATTCTAATGAGACAATTTTGTGAACATGGCAAATTTCCGGATTATGGATGATTGCTTTGGTTACTGATCAATATTTAATCAATGGAAGTGGAACATTATCTAGATAGGTCGGATATCTTTACAGTGTTATTACGAACCTTGAGTAGCTGTGGTCTACCTCAGATGTATCTTTTTTTCCCTGCCTTGTATAAAAGAAAACTATTATTTCAGTATGGTATCTTCTACAGCCAGGTTTCAGCACAGCGCATTCAGAGTGGTTGATTTTGGTACAACACTAATACTTTGCTCTTTGCATTTTAGATATATTATTGTACATTAGACATCAGTCTAATGTCTACAACAGCAAATAGCTTTCTCCCCTTTCTTTTCCCTATCATTTATTGATTTATTATCCTGTTCTACCTTCAGGGATCCAGAAGGATATCAGTCGATTATTCATACCACTCTATCCTGTGGAATGTTTTCACATCGTGTTTGGACTCTGAGTCTTACACCACCGTGTCTCGCCTAAAAATGTCCCTCGCAAGGTTGCAAAACTAGTTAACATCTTTCCACTTTAACTCATTGTTTCTCATAGCTTTCTAAATATTCAATTGTTTTCTGCAGAATAATCTGTAATTAAATCATCCACAGGTACTTCTACATTTGGGACTCACCTCTGACCAAAACATCGTAGACTGCCCAACATTCTACACAATGCGATTTTTTGCAGACTTTCTAATCCCATCCGTGACAACATTAGCTATGCTTGCTCTAAATATCGACTATATTTTGAGACTATGGTGAGCATTTTTATTAAATTAGTGTTGTCATATTGCATACAAAGAGAACAAAGAGTTTAAAATACATTGTGATAAAAAAAAGGAGGGGGTGGGGTGGGAGGGGATTGTACATCTCCTAAAATCAAATGCTCTGTTTTGTAACACCAAAATCACAAAATATAAAACACTGATAAGACCAAAGTGATATATAGCTCTGAATCCTGAAGCACAATGAAACAATATGAGATCTTATCGGCGTTTGAGAATAGTCCTACGGCGAATCTATTTTACCCATCAAAGAGGATGGGTAAATACTTGCATATGTAAAATCAATACTTGTAATATGAATATCTTAAGGAAAGCCATAAGCTTAACCACCCAAGACCGTTTGGGAAACCTTACAATTAGCCAGTTTGCCGACAAAAAATACAATGAGAAGCGGAATATTAAATGGTTTGGGTAAGGAGCGACAAGGACATTTAATCTGTTCATATCACAACTAATTACTTTCAGTATAAGAGGTAGTAGTAGTAATAAGTTTTACCCCACTCGGACATCACATAGAGCGACAAACACCCAGGGACACAAAGTGCCACCATGCGGATGGGGATCACCCCGGAGAGGTCCCAGAAACCCAGTTCAACCGTCAGGTTATATTAGGACCCCCGGCAACACCAAGGGTGGGGCTTCAAAATAACAAAAAAGTTGCATCCTGCGAGGGAAAGCGACAGTCTAGCTTGATGTTAAATTGTAACGTTAAACACTATCAAAACACTTGCATATGTGAAATCAATACTTGTAATATGAATATCATTAGGACAGCCATAAGCGAAACAACTCAAGATTGTTTTGGAAACCTTACAATTAGCCAGTTTGCCGACAACAAATACAATGAGAAGCGGAATATTAAATGGTTGGGGTAACTAGTTAAAACACAGAAAAACCAGTTACTAACACAAGTTGTACATCTAAGAAGAGCCGATTGGAGGGAGAGCCATTGTTGTTGTTATTTATGTATGGCACGTATTTGAAAACTGATTGCCTATCACAGAATTAGTAAGGTCTATCCAGATTTAATGTATAATATTTCTTTTTCTCTCTTTTGTCAATATCTGCGTCTGCCGCTAGGGGTCGCAGTTCGTCAGACGATCAGCAGCCGAGCCTGGGCGTGCTCGTTCTCTTGATATGCCGTGATGTTACGTAGTCTCAATGTGTCAGTGATTTCTTCAATCCATATTTGTCTTGGTCTTCCCCTGCCTCTTGGTGTTTCTCTTTTCAGGTTGTACGCTCTTGCTGCTGGCATCGTTGGTTTCATTCTTATTAGATGGCCAAACCATTTAATTCTTTCTTTCTCAATAAATTTGACGATGGATGTTGTTGCGAAAGTTCTTGTGCTCATGTCGTTTCTCAATCGATCTCTTCTGGGGTTTTTCACAGTCATTCTCAAACACCTCATCTCACAGGCGATTAGTTTTTCTCTCGTGGTCAATTTCCAAGTCAGACACTGGTTACCTACAGTCAGTATAAATATTGTATTTATAATTTGTCTTTTTGTCTCTTGAGATAGTAGGGTGTTTTAAAATTGGAGCAAGTTGGTATGTGACATTGTTGGCTTGTTGGATTTTCGTTTCTATCACTGTGTCCATTCTACCATTGTATGTAAAGATGCTTCCCAAGTATTTAAGTTCTTGCACTTGTTTGGCACTTGTTTCAGACTTTGATCTTTGATCTGTAAATCCATGGCTTATTGCTCTTTATTTACTCTCATGACTTTAGTTTTTCAAATATTGATATTCATGTGGTGTTTGGGACAACAGTCGTTTAGCTGGTTTATGCGGTCCCGCGCCTGTTTACTCCCACTGTAGAATATGCACTGATCGTCAGCAATGAGCAACTCATTGAAGTCCTCCTGATTATCGATATTCAACAGTAAATCGAAGTTGCTCACTCTGTCAAAAGCCTTTTCTTGGTCTATAAAAGCGTGGTTCATTTGGTATCTGTTTTCTATTGTCTATTTCGTTGATTTTCCTTAGGGCAAAAGTAGCGTTAGTACACCCTCTTCCTTTTCTAAATCCGTGGGCTCATAATCCGTTCTAGGATCTAATTCGTTGTTTCAGAATCTTGACAAACATTTCACCCACATGGCTTAAATGGAAGATGCCTCTATAAGTGTTACAATCTTGCTTATTGCCTTTTCTTTTCCATACTGGTACTATAATGGCTCTTTGCCAGTCTAGTGGTATAGTTGTTTCATTCCAGACTTTCCAAAATATATAGAGTAGAGAGGTGACTACAGTTCCTGTACAGGCCTTATTTTCTCAGCTGTAATTCCACTAACACCAGAGATATTTTTTTTTTATAACTGCACCTGATTGCTTTACTTATTTTTTTGTTAAATTACTCCAGGCTCTTCCTCGTGTATATATCTGGGTGTAAATGGTATTGTTCCTTCATTTAATGTAACGTTCAAAAGAGTTTGACAATATTCTTTCCATCTTTCTCTGATCTTACCCTCTTCAAGTATGGGTCTACCTAGACTGTCATTGATATATTCTAATGGTTGGAATGGGTCATCGCTGGTTCTCATTTTTTCAATGGTTTTGTAATCTATAATCGATTGGTAAAAATAATTTCTAAAATGCCTTTGCTGTGGATAAAATAAGTATTTATTCAAGCCTGATCAAGTTTGCTTTCTGAAATCGACAGTTAAGGATGTACATGTTTATGCATAGGGTGTTTATCACAGAAAACCCTAGTAAAATAGACTTTCAAAATGTTGGTTTTAATGAACCTTACATCGGAACAGATTTCTGATAGATAGTGACAAGTCTTGGGAAACTAAAATACCATATGCCACAGCCAACATTACAGTAGGGCAAGTTTTCTTCTTCTTCATCAGCGGTAAAGTATGACGGAAAGTTATAGATGTTCTTCTACTTCTGGGCTTTGGTCCTTTTCAGAGTTTGAGTTTTGCGTTCAAATCTGTTTCACAGAATTGTATTATTTGTATTGCGACTGTTAGTTCCTTGCCATCAGACTCTTAAGTCATGCTTTATAGGGGACAGTTGGTCTGCTCTCGCTTCCCCATCAAAGGGGCTATATAAAGCACGCAGCGAGTACTGTAACAATTTAACGTCACTGGGTTAGGTAACTTTTTAGGTAACATTCGGTAGATTATGCCTTAGGCAGCCTCACAAAGGTTACCATTTCACCACTCTGAGGTTAATTACCTTAATCGCCACAAGACAGGTGTCTGTATACTGAGTCACTGATAACAACGGTCACATGTAAATGTCAAGAAAATAACCCTCCCTATCCACCTACACAAAAACACCAGGAATTACGATGAAAGGAAAGTTGCATCCACGTAAGACGAAAAACAGTTAAATCTGTAATTAACTCTCTATTCTGTTTTCCCCTAGCTGTTCTACTTACTCTGAGGGTGGCAGCAGAACCTCGCTGATCGTGGTACTGTTCTTGGCCCCATGGATAGTCAGTAACTTACTGCTGATTCCACTATACATTGATGGAATGAACAAGGTATCCGGAACATGGCGAACCACTTGCGATATCAACATGGGTGGTCACTTAACTCGGACGCTTCTTGTGGTTAGCTTTTTCCCACAGGTATTGATTTTTTTTTTTTTTTGGATGCGTGCATAGCAAAACAAACCAGAAATATTTCATAGGTTTGATTATACATGAGTTTGATTAAAATTCCTTGGGCAGTCAAAATTAGCAATCGTTATGTTCCGAAAAAAAGTATGACTCTAACGAAACTTAGGCATTATTGTTTGAAGGACTTGGATGTATTTGACAGCTTTAAAAAAAAAATATGAACAAAACAACGAGAAGTGGTTCTTGACATCCCTTTGCCATGGTGCAGACAGGTGTCCGTTAATAAACTGCTACTCACTTTTGGAGAAACATTTTCAGAAACATGATTAGCAAGGCCAGTTTGCAAAACACTTCGTGGTGATATTTCTTTATGATGATGATGATGAATATTTGTGTGATACTGATGATTTTTGTGTGGGTTTTTTTTTTTTTCCCACCAAACTTTGTTTCTATTATCAATTTTGTTTTGTTATTACATCGGAATGTTGCAAAATCACGACAAAGGTAAATACATCAGTAAAGATTGTGGAGTATTCATTAATTCAGAACACAGCAAGGTGTAGATACTAACATGAAACAAGTAACGTATTGCATCATGATGAAATATTTTCAAAATTTTCAAAGGACTAGGATCTATTCTTCATAAAATTGGAATGTCAGGGAAATTTAAGCATTTAAAAAGAGACCATCTGGTTTATAAATCATGAAGAGAATAAAGGAAATTTGAAAGAGCAGTCACCAGCTTATCCGTGGCAATCGGTTAAAAAAAGAGAAAGCGCCATTTATATAGTAAAAACGGCAGTTTATGATGATGATGATTGACTATGATGGATAAGATAAAAACGACTAAGATTATCATGAATCTGATGATAAAAACACTTGCCTACACCACGATAAAGGGCGGCTGTCGTGGATGTGTCTTGTCTTTGGGTGAGCCCCTAATCTTTTCAATGGTACAACTGTTTACAAGCACCTGAACGGTATTTTTCTAAATAGACCTCCTGCGTAAGTGAACCCTGGTCCTTTGATGATTGCGACACACCTTCACTATTCAGTAAGCAAAATATACGCAGTTGTCACCAGTTTATTGTTTACCCATTGTCTTGTGTGAAACTTGCTAATACTGGCATTACACAATATGATTAACATTATTTTATAAAAAGTACACTCAAAATATATGAAACTTGACCAATTTTTCTTAAAATCTGCAATCTATTACAATAAATACATATAATTTGCAATAGCTAATGAAAGAAGACCTTTATATACAACAATAAGAAAGAGACATACACTGTTCTTTGGCCACATAAAGAGAAAAGAGACATTGGAGAACATCATGACAACTGGAAAGATTAGAGGAATGAGGGGTAGAGGCAGACCAAGGGAGATGATGCTGGATCGGTTGAAACGATTGCATGGAGGGATATCATCAAAAGAGCTGTTCCAGGCAACTAGGGATCGTGATATGTGGAGACGCATAAGCGCTTACGTCAGTTGGCAGGGCACATGATGATGATGCAATACTAAATAACCTAAAGCACTTCACAAGCACAAATATATATATATATATATATATATATATATATATATATATATATATATATATATATATATATTAAGCTGATTTATTCGTGTACGCACCAGATGGGAAAACAAAAAATATTGTACATACGAAAGCACTTCAATTAACAGAATTAAAATGACACGTTAAATTGTAAGTTTTTCTCCTCAAAAAATGAATAAAAGGACAGTGATCCAATATAATTATTAAATATTGTTGAAGCGAGTTTCCTTTAACTTCCATTTCTGTTGGAAGCGTAGCAACGAGCGCAGGGTACAGCTAGTTATTTTATAAAAAAAAAGTACACTTAAAATATATGAAACCACCAATCTTCCTTAAAATAACCAAAATCTATTACAAATAATATGCAATACTAAAAAACCTAAATTACTTCACAAGCAAATTTATCCTTTTTATTCTTCTTCTTCTGCTTCTTTTTTCTAAATTATGACTTAGATGGGTTGAACATGTTAATGTTGTTTAAAATACTACTACTACTTCATCTACAGGCTGGCTTGCTTCTGATCTTCAACTTGATCGTGTCAATTCTCTACCTCCTGAGGCGGGAGTCCTACAGTTTAGACGTGTGCGGGGAGAGGATTCGGGCTCCAGTGGACATCTGCTTGGCCTCTTTCACCACCATGCTCTTGTATACACCCGTGTTTATCGCCACACTCCTGACCACAGAAGGTTACCTCGGATGCCAGAACAAGGATGAATGCAACGCACTGAACATTCTCTACACTACATCTTTATGGTTGATGTTTACCAAATCTTGGCTTCTGCCTCTAGCTTGGCTTACATGCAGGGACACCAGAGCTTGTATACGTCATGATTTAGGCAGTTGCTGAACGAGACTATGTAATGCTTGACATGATTTAAGAGCTGTCTGTGTGTTTTGTTTTTCTAAAGAAAGATACAAGATTAGGACCATTTATGAAGGTCATAAGTTTATGTTGATCACTCCTCAGCATTAGGGCAATTCCTTATGGGAACGAATACTTTGATTTAACTAGTGATTAGTAATTAATGGATTTAAGTTTTGAAAGTTTAGTATTCTTATTTCTATTTTCTAAATAAAATTAAATATAACACGTAGTGACAGCTTGACATATAAGTCTTCAAAGACAGATGGCTTAGGTTTAAACATTTGGGGTGTGGTGGATTTATCAGATGTAATGACAGATTTATCACTGTGCTGTGATCATTTAAAGAAAGACAAGCTTCCGAGAACTTGGCTTTTTTCATCATGAATAACTTCAGTTATTAGAATAGATGTTCTAATATCTATCTATTTTCTTTTACCCCACCAGGACATCACACAAGCGATAAACACCCGATGACACAAAAATGTCACCATGTGGATGAGGATAACCCGAGGAGAGGTCCCAGAAACTGCGTTCAGCCATTATACCATATTTATGGCCGGGGTACACTGCGGTTCCTGGCAAGAGCCAGAGTAGGGCTTCAGAAAACAAAAAATCGTATTCCACAAAGGGATAAGATATTAATGATAGTGTTCTAATACTGAAGAGGGAACAGATACACTTTACTGGTGTACAAGACTGTTCAACTGGCTTCATGCTGAAATGTACAGTAGTATTACAATGAAAAACACACGCATAAGGAAAATAACAGCAATGAGAAACGGAAATGAGAAAAATAACAGAAATTTAAAAAAAAAAAAAAAAAACAGTCATACAGCAGGAATAAAACACTTATGGCAGATGATTCTGGCTTTGCCAAAATGTGCTATATTCAAGGACGCTGAGTCCGCATAGGCGTATTAGATGTAGGTTGGAGAATATTCAGAAATCATCACCATAGTGTGTCATGCCGACAGTGTAGGCGGTCATAACTCGCTACCCACACAAATCACAAAAATCCTGGACTGGGCCAGTACTCGTGTCCTGCTCCCTCCTTTTGGTCCAGCCTTCGACCTATTTGTCTGTTTGCTTCCCGGATTTAAACCAAATTCCCCTCTTTCTTCTTCTTCTTTTTCTTCTTCGTTCACCGGCTGTGAATTCCGACGGAAGGTCCCTGTTAATCGTCCGCTTAGACTTTTGGCTTTTACCTGGACCTGAGTTTTGCGTGTACAACCGTTTTACTGGTTTTTGCCGTTCCCTGCCTCACGGGCAGATATACTCCGACTTCGAGGGAAGACGTCAGGCCTATTTCTAGGATGACTGTGGCCATTTTTTGTGTCGGTCGAGATGTGACCTTATTTGTGTGGTGTCCCCTTTGTCCCTTTCTCCAAAGGTGTTGCCCCCGAAGTACTCCATTTGGGACAGCCCTGTGTGGAACGGTTGGCCCTCAAGGGAAGGCAGGGCCAGATCATGGGCATTCCCCGCCATCCAAGGAGGCCTTAAAGGAGAGCCAAAATGATTAATATTGTCTCCCACTACTAAGAGAATGTTCAGCAGTAATATGTATCAGGTAAACAGACAGAAGTCATAAAACAACTAAGAATGATATTAGGAAACCTATCATACTAAATACACAGGGACCAATTTTATTTGCCTGTCCACACAAACTAGAACTACTGTAGATAATACTAAACCGTAGCTGGTTTAGGAATAGATAGTAATGTACTTATAAACATTTCAAATAATCCATTGACCTACATGCCTGCAGATGTGGGTATACAGAAGAATAGGTCATATTTCATGGAAACAATAACAGTCCAATTCAGAGGTTCTGGAAAGGCTAATAAGTAAAAGAGAACTACTGAAAGAAGTTTTTATAAAAAAGACAACTGAAATACTTTTGCCACATTAAAAGACATAACACACTTTCAAAAACCATACTGGAGGGAAAGGTTGAAGACAAGAGAGCATAAGACCAGGATAAGAGACAAAGCATGTTGGAGATCCATTGCAGCCAACCATCACTGTGGAGACGGCACCTGATTTATGAGTGATTGATGATGATGCCTGCATGCGCCAACACAAGCATGTAAGCTAATAAACACTTATTGATTTCATTTGACTTGCAAACATGCACTGATGGTATCTGTCTTATCTGTGAAACTCAAGAAAGCTCTAGATGTAGAATTGTAAAACTTAAGAGCAACCATAATATTTATGGCAATGCAACACACACATTAACACATACACTAAATCATAAAACACACACCATAAAGACCCACATAACTGCCACTTTTATAGATTCAAGAAGAATATATGTTTATTATTATAAGAACTAGTCATCTCTCTGTGAGATACAATTTTTTGTTATTTTGAAGCCCCACCCTGGCTCTTGCCACGGGCCGCAATATAGCCATAAATATGGTCTAATGGCTGAACTCAGTTTCCGGGACCTCTCCACGGGTGATCCTCATCCACATGGTGGCACATCGTGTCATTGGGTGTTTATCGCTTGTGTGATGTCCTAGTGGGGTAAAATGTACTACTAATAATAATATCTTTACACACACAAAAAGTGATAAAGTTTACACCAAGCAAAACAAAATTAGACTAATGGGTCTTTAAGAAGATGGAGAAATCTATGAAATTAGCAAAACTAGCAAAACGAAATGATTCAGCGTGGAGTAACATAATCAATGATTGAGAGAAATGGAATTAAAGTGTGCTTAAAGCATACGTTCATAAGTTCAGGGATGGGGAATAAATGGAAGAAGACAAAAGAAGAGGAAGAAGTATTGAAATTCACAAGTATTTTTGTTTTTTAAATATGATTTTCTATAATGCTTTTTAAGCGTTCAATCCCACAGTCGCATACCTGGTTGTGGTAACTTATGTGAACTTCCTAAACTTCAGCAGATCATTATGATTTTCTAATGTGTACATGATTAAACAGTACTTAAATGTTATATTTATGTGTAGCAATTGTGCACAGCCCTGACATTTACACATAGGAACATATTTAGTGAATACCTATGAGCATCACCCATTATGTCTGAGTATTTTGGCAACTAGATTTTCAAGTGTTTTTTGAGTCATGAAGACAAACTATTAGGATGTTGATGTATTTCCCTGCTGAAGAAAGGCACTCATTTTGCTAAATGCAGAGTATTATTTATGGAATGTGACAGCTGCCTTTGAGTTATATTCTGATTTAGAGATTATTTTAAAGAAAGCTTAAGAATGTACTTTGGGACCTAGGAAAGAAAGATATCTTCAGACAGGCTCTGTTCGAATGTTTTTAGATAATGGAATAATGATTTAACTTATTACAGAATATAATGTTTATTGACTGTCTTGAGAAAACAAGATTTTCTGTCATGCCTTTTTATGAATATAGCAAGCTGGTTCATTGAACTTTACAACACACAATGATCATTGTGACTGACAGCAAAAACAATTAACCTTACTAAAAACCTGTAAAGCCTTTATAAACCTTGTGTACCTTGCTTTTTAATAAATGTTTTTATATAAACTGTGATGATTAATCTGCTCTTTTGGTAACAGTAACATATACAATGTACAATTAGAAGGTGAATATCTAACACTTCATCTTCTTGTTCTTTTTCTTCAGCACACCTAGCCCTTGAGGTACATTGTTGTCGATATATCCTGCCTCCATTCATCTTTCTGGTTGGCCTTCCCATTTCAGTTGGTGACACCAAGTGTTTGTAGGTCTGTGTGAATATTATCTCTTCATCATCTTCTTGATTTGCATCGTGGTCTATGACCATTCAGCTCCCTTGTTTATACAGGTTTTAACTCTCTGTTATCTGACATTCTCTCAATATGTCCCAGCCATCTCAGTCTATTAGCTCCCATGAAGCCAGTGATCAGTGCTGATTTAAACAGATTATGAAATTAACAGTTGCTTCTTATGCTCCATTCCCCATTGTTTGCATCTTTGATGGGTCCAAAGATTCATCATAAGACTCTGTTAATGAAAATTTGTAATAAGGCTTCATCTCTTTTAGTTGTGCTCCAAATGTCAGAACCATAAAAAACAAGTGCTATCAACGTCTTATTACATGCATTATATTAAGAAAATGCACCAATAAATTGTTACTACAACCAAGTGCATGGTGTTTATGACACTAAACAATGATTGTTTTAATCAGGTAATGTGTGTATGTTGGTTAAATATGTTATTCTTTTTCAAACAGTATTTTAAAGCATAATAATGCTAATATTTTACTCCTGTTTGATAATTTTATCTTAACTGTTGAGGTATATTTTTAATGCGATCATTCAGACCTATCATTCGGTTTAACATATGAAGCATATTTTTATGTATTTCATATATTCTTAATTTTGTTTTTAATTGCGGCTACATCTATGATAATTTGTGTGCTTAAAAATAACATATAAACTGTAATTCGTAGATGCTTTTGTTTTTCTTATTTTAAAACTAATTTTTTTCTTCCTGTAACATTGTACTGAAACAAGCACGTTCATTTTGTAACAGTCATTGGTCATTTGTGATGATTTTGGAGAAAAAAAATGTTTGTTTACACATGAGTGATATTGTTTGTGTGATTCAGGACAGGAACATATGTAAGAATATGTTTACCTTTAATATGTGTTTGTAGATCATCATCATGATGTGCCCTGCCAACTGGCGCAGGCGCTCATGCATCTCCACAGATCATGATCCCTGGTTGCCTGGAACAGCTCCCTTGATGTTATCCCTCCAAGCCATCTTGTCAGCCCATCCAGCATCATCTCTCTCGGTCTGCCTCTCTTTCCATTGATCTTTCCGCTTGTCACAATGTTTTCCAATGCCTCTCTTCTAATTAAATGGCCAAAAAACAGTGTTTGTCTCCTTCTTATTGTTGTATATAGGGATCTACTTTCTTTGGCTTCTTTCAAACAATCATTGTTAGTTACTTTAGCCATCCAAGGTGTTTGTAGTTCATTGAAATTTAAAA